TCACAGTCGCTCGGTCTTCCTTGTTTGAGCGCATCATAGAGCGGCAGTATGATGACCCTCATTTTCTTGTTCTTAGAGACATGGTGCGGCATAGTGGTGCCAAGCAGGTTACTGCTGGAGATGATGGGGTTTTTAGGATGCAGGGTCATATTTGTGTGCCTAATGTAGATGGGCTTCGTGAGTTGATTCTTGAGGAGGCCCACAGTTCTTGGTATTCTATTCATCTGGGTGCCGCCAAGATGTATCAAGACTTGCGGCAGCATTATTGGTGGAGAAGGATGAAGAAGGATATAGTTGCATATGTATCTCGGTGTCTAAATTGTCAGCAAGTAAAGTGTGAGCTCTAGAGACCTGGTGGTTTGCTTCAGAAGTTAGAGATTCCTGAGTGGAAGTAGGAGCGTATCACTATGGATTTTGTTGTTGGACTCCCACGGACTCAGGGGAAGTTTGACGTGGTATGGGTTATTGTGGACAGGCTTACCAAGTCAGCGCATTTCATTCCAGTGGCAGTTACCTATTCTTTAGAGCGGATAGCCGAGATCTACAGTTGCGAGATCGTTCGTCTTCACGGTGTGCCCGTGTCTATTATTTCTGATCGAGGTACAAAGTTCACCTCGCACTTTTGGATACAAGTACAACGTGAGTTGGGCACGAAGGTTGAGTTGAGCACAACATTTCATCCTTAGACGGACGGACGGTCTGAGCGCACTGTTCAGATATTGAAGGATATGCTCCGCGTTTGTGTTATAGATTTCGGGGGTTCTTGGTATCAGTTCTTGCCACTTGCAGAGTTTGCCTACAACAACAGCTACCAATCGAACATTCAGATGGCTCCCTATGAGACATTATACGGGAGGCGGTGCCGATCGCCAGTTGGATGGTTCAAGCCGGGGGAGGCTCGGTTGTTGGGTACAGATTTGGTACAGGATGCCTTGGATAAGGTCAAGATTATTCAGGATCGACTTCGCACAGCTCAGTCTAGGCAGAAAAGTTATGCCGACCGTCGAGTTCGTAATGTTGCATTCATGGTCGGAGAGAGGGTGTTGCTCCGAGTTTCACCCATGAATGGTGTGATGAGTTTTGGAAAGAAGGGCAAGTTGAGCCCTAGGTATATCGGACCTTTTGAGATTCTTGAGAGAGTGGGAGAGGTGGCTTACTGGCTCGCATTGCCACCTAACTTATAAGCAGTCCATCCGGTGTTCCATGTGTCTATGCTCCGGAAGTATCACGGTGATCCGTCCCATGTGTTAGATTTCAGCTCAGTCCAGTTGGACAAGGATTTGACTTATGAGGAGGAGCCGATGGTTATTCTAGCCCGACAGGTTCGACAGTTGAGGTCAAAGAGTTATCCTTCAGTTCGAGTGCAGTGGAGAGGTCAGCTATTCACGAGTCCATGTACTTGTTTATGTTCGTTCAGGACGAACGATTGTTTTAGAGGTGGAGAATGTGATGACCCGATAGGTCATCTAGAGTTTTAAACCTTAATTCTGTGTTTTGAAACCTCAAATATCTCATTTAAGCCTTCCTCTATTTGCTTGCGCAGTCTGTGTCTTTTTTTGAAAGGCTTTTATGTTAAATATTAATAAAATATGAAATTATGCCTTAAAAATCCATTTGACTTGACTTCGATCAACGTTTTGAGCAAACAACCCGGAATCGAATTTGGAGGTCCCTAGATTGAGTTATCGCTTTTTGTCGAAAATTTGAAGTTTAAAGGTCTAATTAATTTAAAGATTTGACCAATGGTTGACTTTGTTGATATCGGGTCCGCATTTTGATTCCGGAACTCGATATAGGTTCATTACTATATTTATGACTTGTTTGCAAATTTGGTGAGAAACGGAGTTAGTTTGACATGATTCAGACATCCGGTTGTTAAAATAGAAGTTTTAAAGTTTTATTGAAATTTTCATTTGATTTGGTGTCCGATTCATAGTTCTATGTGTTATTTTGGTTTGTTGATCGCGCGAGCGAGTTTGTATAATATTTTTGGACTTGTGTGCATATTTGATTTGGAGCCCGAGGGCTCGGGTGAGTTTCGGATAGCCTACAGACCTTTTGAACTTAGGAAAATTTGTTGGTTTTCCATTTCTGCTGGTGTCTAGTAAAACCTTCTTCGTGATCGCGAATATACCACTGCGATCGCGAAAGGTAAGTTGGGACTGGGGGAGAAATGTGCTATCCGAACGCGAGGAATAGAACGCGAACGCAGAGCAGCGGGGGAACTGCCCTTCGCGCACGCGTCCACACCAACGTGAACACATAGTATTGGATGGGCTTGGCTGGGAGTAGAGGTTAACTCTACCAAACGCGAGACCAGTCTCGCAAACGCGGAGGTGAGGCGGGATATACCTTCGCAAATGCGTGAAGTTACTCATGATCGCGTTGGCCAATTAGGCCATGCTCTTCGCGAACGCGTTAGGTTTCACGCGAACGTGATGAACACCTGACGCCAGCGATTTAAAACAGTCCCAAAATGAGATTTCTCCCATTTTTCATAAACCTTACATTAGAGCTCGGCCTAGAGGCGATTTTGATGAGAAAACTCAACACCAATTCATAGGTTTGTGCACTTTAACTCATTTTCTTTCATTTCTAACATCACCCATTAATTTCTAGCCCTAATCTTTGTTCTTCCATAGTAAAAATTGGGGATTTGGGTAGAATTAGGGATTTTTAAAAGATTGGATTTTAGACCTTAAAGTGAAGACGGATTTTGAAACAAATGACATAACTGGGCTCGGGAGTGAATGGGTTATCGAATTTTGGTACGAATTTCCGATTTGGACCAAGCGGGCCCGGGAGTTTACTTTTGTTGACTTTTTCAATAAAGACCTAAATTGAATCTATTTCATTCGTGGGTAGTTCATAAGGCTTAGTTTTGAATCGTTTGACTGTTAATTTGCTAGATTTGGTTGGTTCGGAGGCTTGTTCGAAAGGCAAGGCCGTGGTTGAGCTTTGAGTCTGTTTTGGAGCGAGGTAAGTGTTGGGTTTAACCTTGATTTGAGGGAATTAGGAACCATCGGTCTATGTGCTCTGTGAAATTCATGTGTTGCGGTGTATATTCAAGGTGACGAGTGCTTATACGCCGACGGATTACTTGTTTCCCCTGATTTTCTCTTTTCCTTAATTATTTCCTTCCATGCCTTAACTGTTATGTGATTCAAATGCCTCCCATGCTTTAATTGCTACTTGTTAATCATTATTTTTCGTGTTAAAAATGTTAGACATTTCCATGCTTTCATGACTCGCTGCTATTTGCCTTAATTGACTTACTTGCACCTTTTAACTGTCATCTACTGGACTTGTCTTGCCATGTAATACCACATATGTGAATTCCCAAAATTGGTACGAGGTCTCTTTTCTGATTCAGCTTCATATTCATCATTCATAGAGGTTCTTATGATTTGAGTTATTGATTTGATTGTACTTATTGAATATTCGATACTGATATGGTGGGATCGGGTTGCACACCGCAATATATGAAATAAGGGTGGATTGATAAGGGCGAATTTGTACTGATATGGTGGGATTGGCTTGCACGCAGAATAGGTGGAATAAGGGTGGATTGATACAGAGAAATAAGGGTGAGTTATGATACTGGTTTTGTTATATGGTGGGATCAGGTTGCGCGACGCAACATATATTTATTTATGATTGTTGATAATGTTACGATGGAATACGGGAGGATTGTGATGTACGGTGGGATCGGGTTGCGTGCCGCAACAACTTATGTGTTTCTATTTTCCTTGTGCTGTGTTGGTTTTTGGTATTTTCATACGAAACTCTAAGGATTGGTAATTCTGATTGTTACTGGCTGTTCTTCGAGAATTTAGCTATTATCTTCAATAAACTGCCTTATTTCGTTCTGTATTTTCCTTTCCCGTCTTTATTATACAGATTATATTGTAAGTGACCTGCCTTAGCCTCGTCACTACTTCGTTGAGGTTAGGCTCGGCACTTGCAGAGTACATGGGGTCGGTTGTACTCTTACTACACTCTGCACTTCCTGTGCAGATTTTGGAGTCGGTCTCAGCGACGGTTATTAGCGTGCTCGGGTTGGCTAGCTTGTTGAGACTTGTACAGCTGCTCAGCGTCCGCAGCTCCTAGAGTCCCCTTTCCTTTTTATTAGCGGTGTATTTTTCCCTTAGACATCTTTATGTTTTATTCAGACCTTTACTTGTACTATTCTAGTAGCTCGTGCACTGTAGACACCAGGTCCAGGGTTATATAAGATATTTCAGTTGATATGGCGTGTACTTTAATTTGGACTGTTGCAGTTATTTTAGTTTCTTTCTTATTATTTAATTTGAACTGTTGAAAATTGATAAATTGTTCTAATGTTGGCTTGCCTAACAAGTAAAATGTTACGCGCCATCACGAAACCGAAGAATTTCGGGTCGTGACACTTTTTAGGTGGGCATCACATACGTAGCCAATGAATTAGAACAAAATGCTGGAGTAATACATGGATTTCAATATAGTCGCAAAGGTGATTTAAAGATTATGTTAGGTCGTAACTGAAGTACAATACTCTCCATTTTTTTTTTTTCAATACTCTCCAGTCTCCATTCACAGATCGATTTCTCGTTTGAAGGTGAAGCCTGTTTGAAGGCAAGTCATGGCCATTCATTTTAACCACATTAGTTGGCAAACATTGTGGTATCATTATTCCTATTATTATTGGTACACTTTCTTCTGATAATAGAAGACAAGGTGGGTTACTCTGGTAAGCACCCTCCACTTTCAATCAAGAGGTTTTGAGTTCGAGTCACCCCAAAAGCAAGGTGGGGAGTTTCTTGGAGGGAAGGATATCGAGATTTTGTTTATTGGAAACAACCTAGGTCTGCGTACACACTATCCTCAGACCCCACTTATGAGATTATACAAGGTTGTTGTTTCTCCTCATAATAAAACACAAGGCCACCTTGCTCGCTTATTTGTTTAATTATCCTAATGCTTTAATTTATATAACATAATTAAGGGGAAAAAACAAAAGATAAGGTGAAAAGCAAAACCAACTGCATTTTACAAAAGAAAGATCCACATAACTTCATACATAAGCACATACTATATGCACTTACATATATGAATACAATACTATTATCCTTCAAACCCCAAAAAAGTGAAGGAAATGAAAGCTTAACCAAACAGCAGTAGCACAATCATGACATCCACAAAAACAAAACAAAAAAGCGACAAATAGAAACATTCATTTTCATGCTGTAATAATTTAGTGAGATGCAGTTTCTTTCTCTTTTTCCTTTTCTTCTTCAGTCTTTGAGTGGTATCCTGGTAATTTCTCCTTAATCTTGTCCAAAAATCCCTTCTTCTCTTTTCCCTCAGCCTCGTGCTCCGCCGCAGCCGGTGGTGGCGGCGCCACTTCCTCAGTCTTCTTTTGTCCGCCACCTGGCAACTTCTCCTTAATCTTGTCTAGGAATCCTTTTTTCTCCTCTGTTTCCTCGTATTTTTCCACTGGAACAGCCGTGTCCTCTGCCTTCTCTTCTTCCTTGTGTTCTCCAGATATTTTCTCCTTGATCTTATCCTTCAAACCCTTCTTTTTCTTCTTCTTGATTTTCTGTCCGTCCTCTCCTATTTCTTCCTCCTCATCACTCTGCAAAATCATCACAATTAACATAAGCTTCATCCAACTATAAAGAGTTTTTGTTGTACACAAACAACAAGGTCACAAGTTCGAGTAGGCCGCTAATGTTTTTTCTTACCCTTCACGTAATATGCCTTGTGCACCGGGCTATTCTTTTAAATAGTAAAAATATCTATATGATGAGGCTATTCATGTAAACATGATCAAAATACGAGTTCATATATATTTATGTACCATTGCTGTAATTAATTTTTTACACTTGTCAAATCATTCGAAGAATATCTACAAGTAAATTTTGAAAACGAGACATGTTACTTGATACAATAAGGTAAATATGACCTGACCGTGTAAAAAATACTAAAATTGAGGGTATATATAACTTGAACTTCAAAAATAAAAAAGTGCCCGTGCCCAACATGTAAATTAAATCAAAGAATATAGTCTTAATAGTTACCGTAAAATAAATTAAGAATACGTACAATTAAGTAAGAAATACGTCTATGAAACATAGTTATTTTGTACTCCATCCGTTTCATATTAGATGGGGTACTTTCCTTTTTAGTCTGTTCCAAAACAAATAATACATTTCTAAATTTAGAAATAATTCAATTTTAAACTTTTTATTTTATTCATTTACCCTTAATGAGAGCTTTTATAGCCATACAAATAGCATGGTCCTACAAACCTTTTATCCCTTAAACTTTTAAGACCACAAGTTTCAAAAGTCTTTTTTTTTTCTCTTAAACTCCGTGCCGAGTCAAACTAACTCATCTAATATGAAACCGAGGGAGTATTTATTAATTTGACGCAAACATATACGAGTATAAATTTTACCCATGATCGAAAATACTTACAGAGCTGCTAGAGCTGCTACTTGATCGATGGAGTTTCTTCTCTTCTTTCTTGTGCTCCTCTTCTTTCTTCTCTTCCTCCTTGTATTCTGCAACTCCTTCAGATACCTTTACTTTTTCATCAAACTCAGAGGAAATAGCCTGTTCCTCTTGAACATGAGTTGGCTTTTCCTCTTCCTTTTTCCCTAGGAAATCAAACAAACCACGATCTGTAGCCTCCACGTTTGCGCTACCCTCTTCAACCTTCTTTTCATATTGATCGGCCATTTTTTTTTTCAATCCAAAAACAAAGAAAAACTTGTTGCTAAGAACAAAGCAAAGAATGATCACTCTTTGAGCTAAAGTAAAAGTTGGAAACTTTTGAATATATTGAATTGGAAGTGTTGGAAACTAGAGACTTAGTGCGCCTTTTATAGCAATCATAACGCGGACGTTACGCGATTGAGATAAGATATTTATAATTATAAATAATAAGAAAAGTAGTCCAAAGGACTCATAATATTCAGTAAATACCAATCAAGTACACCAAGTGTAACCGACATCAACGTGGCCTCTTTTGTTCTGTCTCCAATTATGTACTGTTTCGTAACTCCGAGAGTATATTAATTTGTATTCACTGCTAAAGGATGTGGTGCAGTGGATGAGACTGCTCCTCCCTTAACCAGAAGTCTCGAGTTCGAGCTCTGGGTATGAAAAAATCCTTGGTAGGGAACGCTTCCCCCCGAATGGGACCCAACGCGGCGCGAATCCGGATATAGTCGGGCTCCAATGCGGGTACCGGACACCGGGTGGAAAACCAAAAAAAAGAAAAAATTGTATTGACCATATTATAGTGACGTGGCAAAATATTACTGGATTTAGTGGGTATTAAAATTTAGCTGGTGAAAAATATAGTCCGTAAACCCGTCCAGATTCGAAAGTTTATTAACCACTCGATAAGTTTTGACCAATAAGAGCTGCCTAGTCCTAAAATTCACTCATAATTTTTTAATTTAATATATTTTATATAGTTATTATAAATTAGAAAAAGTTTTGTTAGTATGATTTAGCAATTTAGAATTTTCAAATAAGAAATAAATAAATTAAAATGATGTTGAGTTGTGCGAATGAATTAAGGGGACTACCTTCTAAGCTTAAGTATTTCTCAATGAACAATAACGTACTAATGTCACGAGGAACAGATGAAAAAAACTCTATTTAGGGAACGCAATAGAGAACCTACAAGTTGATGCGAATAATATTCCGAAGGAGTGAAGCTTATATTAGATCATTTACTTTATAAAGAGTATACTCATAACAGTTTCATCTATCGCTTGATCGTAAAAATCAAATTGACTCGTTTTGCCATAAATATCTACATGTTCTACTGAGTAGGATCCTATCTTTTCGAGGTTGAAGGCATAAGCGCATCTATTAAATAAAATCCTTATTATAGCCAATTGTTAGGCTCAAATTAACTTATTCCTTTCAACTCAAGCAAATATCGAGCAAATTATGTTTCAACTAATTTTATTGATATCAATTGGTTTTAATCAATCTAAATAACGTACGCAACTGCTCATTTAACACATCTTCAGCTTGTATTCTTCTGTAGTTTAAAATTCTCACGGAATAAGGAGAGTAGTTTGCATACTCACAACGTAGTTGGATTAAAGAATAAAGTAGAAATGTGTAGAGAGAAACAAGCTGTATTGTGACGGCGAAGGTTACCAATAATATCAATACACGTAGGATGACAACGTGTGAGGTTGTACTTGTGGGACCATATAGTGTCGGCCTCGTTTGGCTAACTTTTTAGAACAAGGGTGTCGGTATTTGTGTGGGGTACACAACTGACACGTGGCGAAATGATAGGGGCCAAGGCAACTTCTAGATCCCAAAATTGAGTTAGAAGAGAGTAATTGCACGCCTAAAATAATTTTATGAAATACTTGTCATATTATTATGCTATTAGCACGGTACTTCATCCGTTCCATTTTAATGGAGTTTCTAGCTATTTTCATATAATAAAGAATTTATATTTTAATATTAGTTAATTATAAAATGTACTATCTCTTTAATATGTTCATTAAAAATATAATATATACTCTGAGACTCTTTATCCAAAAACAACTTTAAAAAGTAAAAAATTCATTTCTTTTCGATATCTGACAAAATCAAATATTATAGACCATAAAAAATTTAATTAAAATATACTAAAAAAAATATCGAATAATAACTCTATCCACTAAAGTTTAAATAGATATAAAAATCAGCTAAATTGTGTTCGCTAAATTTTGAACTTGATATTCCATAGTTGTTTACCGACTTCAATGACCACTGAACTAGATATTTTCAAGCCCCGAAAAAAAAAACTACATATTTTTAAGTGCATGAGTTAATGTCATCATTTCATGTGGGCTCCGATCTCCATTCATGGATCCTTGTCCCTTTCCTTATGGAGTTTAATTTTATGTTGTACTAAAATGAGAAAATATAGTAAAAATATTTAATTTAAGGTAGACCAGAAAAAGGACAAGTGGTCGGTTTGACGTTTCGTATTTCTCTTTGAAACGAACGGAAGGTTACAAAAGAACTTTTTGAATTTTGAGATGAAACGTATCTATTTTTTTTTAGGTTTTCCACCCGGTGTTCGGTACCCGCATTGGAACCCGACTATATCCGGATTCCCGCCGCGTAGGTCCCCATTTGGGAGGAAGCGCTCCCTACCAAGGATTTTTCCAAACCCAGGGCTCGAACCCGAGACCCCTGATTAAGAGAAGAGCAGTCTCATCCAATGCACCAGATCCTTTCAAGTATGGTAGGGTGTGCTGTTTGATTTGCCTTTATTTTGCTTTCGGTAACGCTTTCAGGTAATTAATAATGGCTTTTTCCTTCTTTTTTTCTTACTTTTCTTTTTTCCTTTAATTTAATTTTTTTAAATTTGTTGTAGGGTGAAACCGTGTATATTTTGTGAGAAGATTTAAAGGAGAATCTTTTGTGGAACTAGAATTATGTAAAGTGATTTAAGTCTAATAACGTAAAAGCTTATTCACCCTTAATATTTTTATCAAGTTGATAAATACAAAGCAAATATCTATAATTTTTTGTTACTTAATTACAATTGTTATGCATATTTTTACTTTACTTTATAATTTTTAAGGTTAAATTGTGTAATTTATTATATACATTAAATGCGAAAACATATCTTTTTGTACTAGTCATGGCTGGCGTTTCTATTTCGTAGCAATGAAGATTGTATGTTCAAGTTATTTGTTGAGCAAATGTCAAATACTCTTCACTTTTCGGGGAGTTTATTAGTTTAATGTGATTCAGGTGTACGATTTTATTTTAAATGAGAATAACTTTGGTCGGTTTGTTTGCAGTTTGTCCCTGGAATTTTACCTTCCTTTTCCTTATTTTACTTTTACCTGTTAACAAACCAATTTTACTTTGAGTTAACTTGAACAGGCATAACTTGATCCGATTTGAGGGGCGGTGGCTATACATACATTTTCACAAATAAATTGTCCAAGACTAATTATTTTAGATGTCTCTTCACAATAATTGTGATGGAGAAAATACCAATTCAAATTGAATGGACAAACCAATTTTACTTTGAGTTAACTTGAACAAGTATAACTTGATCCGATTTGAGGGGCGGTGGCTATATGATAATAGGTGAATTTGACTATAATCACATTAAATAATCACCTTCTTGTGTAGTTTTAATGCTAAAAGTGATAACAAAATGCTCTTATTAGTGCTTTTCATGATTTGCAGGTGATATGTGTACAAGGAATGCTAAGGAGCAGTTTTGGAGTCAAAAATTGGAGAAAAGAGGCCAAAGGTGTAAATTCCCAATGAAGCCACGCCCGGCCAGCCCTTAGAATTCAGAGAACTGGTTTGGCCGCGGTTCTACCGCGACCGCGGCAGAACCGCGGTGGAAAGCAGCTGCAGAGGCAGAACCGCGGCAGGCGCAGAAAGTTCAGGGGTCAAAGTGTCAAATACGGGATTTTTAGACCTAAACCCTATTTAAAACATAGACTTCGCCCAAGAGAGGCATGTATTGATTTTTAAGGTTTCTTAGCAAGGAAAACCATTGTGAGAGAATACTCTAAACATCTTTCTTCTTTTCTTTTGATTTTTATGATGAATTCAATCTTAGTTTCTTTTCCCATAGCCATGAGTAGCTAAATTCCTTGTCTAAGGTTTTGATGGGACCTATTGGGTGATGAACTTCTTGTTTATGTGAATACAAATTGCTAGTTTAATCTCTATTTGTTCAACTTCGTGTCTGTTGTAGTTAATTGACAGGATCCTCAATTAGCTGTGCCTATTTAGTGTGCATAACTTGGAAAAGAGTGCATATTTAGGAGTATTGTTGAACAACACCACTCCTAGATTATTAGAGGAATCTATAATTGCGGGTTTTAAAGGCGGGATTAGGGATAACGAAGCCTTGGGTGTAATCTAAAGTGAATCGTGCTAAATAAAGTAAGCTAGTGTATCTCGGGAGAGTGCAATAGTAAATTACTGTGATTACTCGGGAGAGATTTGCGGTAAGATTAGCGTTCATGATTGATAGAGATGTGTNAAAAGTATAGTGTAGTTTCTACTTTTAATTTTGATTTTGATTTTTGAGTAATTTTGCGTTAATTTGTTTGTGTTAATTGTCACTTTTGGGTTTAATCAGTTTTTCTTTAATTTTAGGAATTAATTTAGATTTCTGTTAGGTCCAAATTAAAGGAAATTAAAATAAAAAGAGGAAAAGAAAAGAAAATAACAAAAATGGTGCTTTTTGCATTTATAGCTTTAATTTGTCTTAGTTTGCGTTTAAAATAGGAATTAGTGTAATTGGAAAGTAAGTAATGTAATTTTCAGAGTCAATTTGGTTTTATTTTGGGATTTAATAAAAATAGAAACAAAAATAAAAAGAGGAAAGGAAATGAAAAAGAAAGAAAATAATAAAGAAAAGGGGAAGAGGGCTGGTTTAATAAATGACCCAAATGTGGGCTATTTCAGTTTAATCACGCCCCATCCCAATTCAAAGACACCCCCAGACCAGCCCAAATGACCAAACCCGGCCTGCCCCCCCTTTAAAACAAAACGGCGTCGTTCCTGGGTCGAGTGAATCTCAGCCGTCGAGGATCTTTGATCCAACGACTGAGAACTAGGGAAGCCTTAATATTTAATGGTCGGAACAGCCCCCACCCCCCCTTATTCACCGTCTTCCTCACCCCATTTATAGACCTTGTAACGCCACCGTACGCTGCCGCCGGAAATCGCCTCACGGCGGCGGCCAGTCTCCAAACACCACCAAAATCACACCCTAGGTTCCTCTCATCTCCCTCTCTCCAAATCCTGCCCCAGTTTCCCTCGAATCATACCCAGACTTGTCGAATCTTGGACCAA